GGAAGCATGTCACTCCATATAAAAACTCCAATAATAAAATTCTTCTGATGAGCCAGAGTTTTCTTGGCTCAAGACTAAATCTTAATTTCCTTTTTACTCCATTTTAGCATTGTATTAATCTCTGGGTTTACATTCTTTTCAATGCCTTATGTTGCAGAAAAGATCTGATCTCAGCACCATGCCCAATCTGGTCTACATATATTTCTATACAATTGTAATTTTCTTTTTTAAGTGCAAATTTTTTAAATCCTTAAACAATTTATAGAGGTCTCACTTTCTCATTAGCAAACTCATCAATCCTACAAACTGGTGCTAATGTTTATTTAATTAAGATTCTCTAATTTAATAATTAATTGAAGCTGCCTACAAGTGTGTTCTTAGTGTTACAGAGATAGTTGGGTCAATAGATAGCAGTGATTTCTAATTCAGCCAGTAGATATACATATTAACCCCACCTCCAATGCTATTTAATGTTGAAATTAACTTCTCTATAACCAAATCATAAAGTTCTTATTTTAAAAACTTACTTTATTCAATAGTCTATATTTCAGGTAACTTGGCTAGTCTGAAAAAAACCACGTGGGGGACTAGAGGGAAAAGACATAATCTGTAGTACTTACACAGTGGGGAAGACCTCAGTGGCAGCCGGTTGGGTGGTTTCCTGGCCCTTGCTGAGCCAGCGATTAACTAGCAGCTGGCAGAGGGGAGGAGGGAGCTGCGCTGGGAACAGCCTGCAGGCCAAGGCCAAACAGGGGGCCTGGTGAAGCTTGTTAGCTGTCAAGGACACGTGGGAAACACTGGGATATGGGCTCCTCTGCTCCTTGTGGCCACCAGCCAGGTGGACACCATTCCGCTGACTGGGAGGGGCAATTGGGCTATAGCCTCGCTTTCCACTCCACTCCACCCCGGGATCGCCCATTCCACCTCACAGACTCTGCACCAAGTGTTTTCTAATGCTCATAATTGGATTAGTTTCACCAAAGTAACTGTATTTCTGTTGTTTCATGTACTTTTTAAAATGAGAGGATTACTTTTATTTTCTTAATAAAGTTGTTGAGCTCCAAGCTGGCCAGAATAAAAGAAACTCAATTTAGTTAATAGTTTATCTAATTTATAATTTTTATATCTTTCACAAATTCCCACATAGAAAATTAAGGGACTGTATACCTGATCTGCAGTTCATTTTTAAATGTGTTGGTGTTCAAAATGATAAACACCAACTTGATATGTGTCACCTTCATTTATCAACTGGTTGGGGAAAACAGGTTACATTTTCCAAGGAGCTTTTTAAAACTGCTTATATTCAAATTACTTCTGTTCACATTCCAGAGTGCACTCCCCTTCTCCTCATCTCACCCCACCCAAAGCCCAGTGATAGTTATTTCTATAGGGACAGTCATGGCGATAGTATGTCATATGGGAAACGTCTAACAGCCACTTTCAGAGGGCTGGGTGTTCTAGACACAGTGTACAATACTGGATAATAGCCTATGTCATGGAGCTTTTTGTTTGTAATTTAATATGTGCATTTACACATGCCTGTACTTTCTTATTCTTTTTTTACAACTCATGTTACTTACCTATGAGGGCAAAAAAAAAAAAAAAAATTAAAAAAATTCACTTGTAATTTTTCCCCCTTTTTTCTCATGAAGATAGTGCAGTGCTTTTTAGTTTCAATGTGACAGCACATGCCTGTATTGTGATCAACTATGTGGTGTTTTGCAAATAATTTGTTAAAGTGTTGAAATTTGGCATTGAGTGGTTTATAAAGGAGAGTAGATTCAGGCTTAGTCATTTTAATTTACTTCCATTTAGTTACACATTCACGAACTAACAAGAAAGCACCAGAGTCATAGGTAACACGTGAATTGTCATAACCCCCAGGCTATCCCTCCCTGGACCTCTTCCGCAGCCGGGAGAACCTGAGAAGTGTGCGGGTGTCTGAGCAGTGTGCCGAGGCGGAGGAAGGCCAGTGGCCTACCACAGGCACCGCTGGCAAGTCCCCACAAATCACTCCTTAGTCACCCTCTGTTTAATAAAGTTCCTACCTCTGTTTATTGTCATGAGATATAAGCATGATGATACTTGCTTCTTCACTATCTTTGTGCAGTTTATGTTTCCTGTTTTCTACAGAAAAGTAAGCTCTGTCTTTCGCTGCCATATTTATTAATAGTTCATCTCTTACCAACTTGAAAGGGTTAGACAGTTTCCTCCCTGAGGCACCATTTCCTTTGCCAGTCTTAGGAAGGTGACCCAGAATGTATATGCTTCTATGGTTTGTAGGTGGTTGTTTTAAGTCTTTACATACTTTCTTCTTCCATCATTCCAACCAACCCATCCTGGGGGGGGGGGGGGG